TTTTATTTATGACGTTATTACTTTTTATACTCGTTTGAACGTACTCGCTTATCTTTATTGATTGTCTCCCACCTGCGAGTATGTTATAGCTAAATCAATTCTCTTTCGGGCGTGTCCTTTTATTTTTTATTTTGGTGACGTCATCATGGTCAAAAAGAATGCTTTTTTTGGAGCCTTCTCATCTTTCTTTCTTAAAAGATGGAAACACATTGAAAATCGAGGGCGGCAGACTGTATTTCGACACTATCAGACCGATAGTTCGTATACTGTAAAGACAAAATTTGTGTGGCATTACCAACCAACAGGGGGTTTTAAATTAAACTTGACAAGGTTTAAATTCATGTGCCATTACCGTCGGTATTCGTACTTGTGCGTTAAAATTTTTAAATTATTAATATCACTTTTCAGATAATATGAAGCACGTTTCAGGTCATTTTGAATATTCAGAAACACTTTCCAAAATTTACGCGCCGTACGCTCATTTCCACGCCCACAGCACGTACTGAAACTGGAAATTACGTTTTGGTTACATGTGTTGGGTTTGTGACACTGTATTAATACTACGGTGCACACGGACGTTAAGACGTATGTGTACACATTCGTAAGTCATTAAAATGCTCAAAATTACTCTTTTCCTTTAAAATTTCTTTTAAAATGCTCAAAATTACTCTTTAAATAGAGCATGTTTTAGCATATAATACTTTTCAATCAGAACCGTGCGTGCTTCGTGAGGGTCAAAGTACGGCGGATCACCTAACTCGTCCTCAGTGACGAGTTCAAATCTAGTTAGTATTTATTTTTAGATTTCGTAAACTTATGAATTTATTTAATAAATTTTTAACATTTATTTTGATGGATATTACAAATTGCTACTGATCTAGATCCATTCATTTAAACAATTATTCCTCTTGAGAAGTCCATTAGTTTTGAAGATGAGCCGGGTTTATCCACCTAAATGCACAAGTCGTTGGTCCTGTGTGCAATGTAAGGCCCATGTATGTGTATATTAATGAACACAGTACACTCTTCAGGAAAAGAAGTGTCCTCATGCCCAGAAGTGATGACATCATCCAAATGGGCAGTTCACACAAATTTATTGTATAAAACCTGATATTGTCGACAGAGAGCTTCAGATATCTGATCAAAATAATCGACACGCATCTTTTGGAATTGTGACATTTAGTGACAGATTAATGCTCGGCACTCACTACACCTTACGACGGTCATACGACCGTCGGCCATACGATATCAACAGAGGGCGTCGCTTTATCGTAGGTAGCAGTCTTCATGTATCAACATTAAAAACGATCCTTGCGTGCGTGCGTTCTCCATGGAATTGCATTGGGCGACGACCATCAGGCATAGTAAGTGCCTGGCGCAAGTCTTACCAAACATCGTCAAGTCTGACGTACACAAACTTAATAATGTATGCCCGGCTATTGATAAAAAGAAAATGTAATTTGTTGGCAGATGTGTGTTGGCTTACATTTTATGGCTTAGCTTTAAATCCAGTGCAAAGATGTCGCCATTCAATGACCAGATATAACCTCACTGAAATGAGAAATGTCATGATTTCACATCTAAATTTTGCTCGTAATTGTGCTTCATAAAAACAGACATTAAAAATTATAATTATTACAACATTTTTTTTGCAAAACTGAGGAGTACAGTGTGTTCCTAAAAACTATTAAGCTCAATAGTATAACACTAGGCTCAAATAATGTTCAATTGATGCAGTATCAAAATAATTTGTAGATAATTATTTTTTTATTTTAATAAATTTTTCTCAAAATCTGGGTTACAAAATCCGTACTATGTTAGATTAAAATTTATTGTAATTATATGTTATAAAAATATTTATTTTTCAAATATGACTGAAATTTTCCACCAAATTTGACTCATAAAGTTTGTTTTGCATTACCATAAACAATATTATTACACAATTTTTCCAAATCTTGAGTAACGTGATCTTGAGAAACCATGTAGATGAACTGGTATAAATTGATCACTATTCATCATTACCTTTAATATTTTTTTTTTTTCAAATTTGAGTTGGACTCATATAATGATGTAGCTAAAGATTGATCTAAATAATAGTTAATTAAATTTAATTTTAACATAACAAAAAATATTTATAATTTTCATTATTTCACACTCTAATACAAACAAATGATAATCTAGGTACATCCTTTACGGAAGAAAATGATATGATGATAGTATCATTTTAAAACTGACATAAATAAATATAATTCACCTGTAGTACAGTTTATATAATAATGCCCTTTGTTATCTTGGCCAATATCTTCCTGTTTCTTGTATTCTGAAAGTAATTGAGCAAACTATAAATAACTATGCAGCCACAACTCATTGTGAAATTAGATAATTGTATGTATAAATTATATAGCATAACAAATATTTGTCATTGATCAAAAATGCGAACAGTAATATTGTATTTGAAACCAAAATACAGTAGGAATTGAATAGCAAAAACAATAAGAAAATTATAGGAGTGTGATGTGTTATCGTATCGAATACTCAGTACATCCCCAAATGCTTGCGAAAAAAATTTGTAAGTGATTCGGGTGGGAACTTACAAATTTTTTCGCAAGTATTTGGGGACGTACTGAGTATTCAGTACGATAATATATCAGGTTGGGCAAAACATAACTCCTATGATATTTTCCTGACGCAAACTCTCATTGAATTAAGAAAACTAATATAAATTTATGATAATGTGGCTTGTTATACTATGAGAAAGTTAAAAGGAAACATTAACTACATTTACTATAAGTAACATAATAAAACATAAATCTTAAACCTAAATATTTACGAAGTACTATAAGTAGTAAAATAACCTTAGCTAATAGTAGCAAGCAATGGTTTTCCATACTAATATAATTTGCATAACAATTGTATTGTTTATTACTGCCCATGAGAATTTAGGAGGGTTTATTGTGCGACTCTTTAAAAGCTGTAAAATTTCCTTGAAGAAACAAAACACGTTATAAGTATTTATAGATATATGGTTGTTAATTTTATATATTTTATGTTTTAATTTACAAGATTAAAAAATTTTGCATTGTAGAATAGAATGGTGCCGAAAATTGATAATTATGATTACATTTACGAAACAATTGATTTTTTCCACTTAAAAATCCAACATGTATTCTTTGGATTTGAAGAACTTGATATTTTTAATTTTGACTTGCCTACTTTTCGTTGTATTGTCTTGGATGTGATTAGTTACCGGTAAGTGTTTTCTGTTTCCTGTCTTGTGTACCATTCTGTAAGTGGTGGATTTGTGTCTGTTGATTTGGTTAATAAATAAATTTAAAAAAAATTTTTTAAATCTTAAAGAGAGGTCTCGGTTCTTTTAATGTTGACCAGTGGATTAGTTTATAATTAGCTTTCCCAATGGTAACCAGGTACATTATTCTACAGTTACTAGTACTAGTGTTTCACTAATAATAAGGTATCTGGTTAACAATACTATTGTCCCTATTTCCTAATCTACAGGGACAATAATATATTGATTGAGTACCTTCTTCCTTTATTTATGTTTTAATTATGTACCCTCTACCAAACAATGAACTCTTCCAAGGTGATATGACATTGTATTTACCTTCTGCATGCGCCAACTTAATGGAATTTTCCAGGCTTACCTTTTATTGACCTAAGTGGTGGTCTATCTCATTATGAGTGTGGGGACAAATAAAATTACGTGTGGCACTACATCATTAATAATTATATATATAATTCTGGTAATTAAGTGTTAATATAATATATATATATATATATATATAACATAAAATCTTTGTAGTTCTTTTGTATAAAATCTATGAATAAACATTGAAGTTACTTAAAATTTACTTGTTTGTATTCCCTTCTAAAATAATGAATCAAACCATGGGAAATTTCCCGAAATTGACCTAATACATAATCAGTGTAAAAAAACGCAAGGTCATTAGCTTGTGTGACAGCAAATAGACAGGACTGGACTGTATTTTTAATATCACGTACACACAAGCACACAAATAAACACGTGTGATTTATTTAGTGCAACTCATTAAATTGTGTACTGTCATTAATTATTACATAACAAGTAATTTATAGCATCGCAAATTTGACATCAGTGCTAAGAACGAGAACACCACCAAGTTTGAATCCAACTAACGCATTATATTGGATCTTGCCTCCTGAGCTAAACAAGATCCGTGGATAAAACAATAAACATTTTGGTGCTACATCAGCAAGACATTTTTGGTGGAATCTAATCAACAAAACTATTTCTATTTTTGAAAAGTGTGTTGTATAGCGTTTGATGGCTACAACTTACGTTTGTTCGTACAACAATAACAACAACAAAAATTGTATTGCAATGCGTACTCCAAAATGTAACTCTGTCATGAAAGAAGGAAAGAAAATTATCAATTGGGATGTAATTGTTGCTTTTATTCGTTGCAGTGCTGGCGCTGGTGGCGAAATTGACAACAAGATTGAGCAGGCCATGGTGAGTGTATATTTTATTTTATTTAGTTTATCCAATCGAATATATCCTGATATCTGACTATAATTAATTATTCCCGCCTTTTTTTTCTCCTCCAAATGTATCTCATTGTATCTTGTGTGCCCAATGATGAGTGTTTCTCCATCATATGTAAATGTGTCAGATAAAACTTGATTCTCCTTGTATTTTGTGTCTGACATTGGAAACAATGTTGCCCATGTCAGTATTGTAATGATTTCTTGTGCATAACAATAATGTTTTCTTCTTCCTACCCTCTTAGTTTTGTACATTTTTTGTGTAGCTCATTATCTTGATTCCAAATTATGTCTCATTTTATCTTTGTGTCTAAACAATAATCTTGCTACTTTAAATGTACTATACTATATCTCATGTGTCCTCGTGGCTGATAATGTTTCCAATTTTCTTTATTTTGTATTATATCTTCATATTATCTAAATGTGTCTCATGTATGATTGTGTTTGATAACAGTGTATCCTTTCATCATTATGTTTAATATTGTACATAATAAAATAATGATTGATTATGCAATGAAATGTTTAGTTCCTGCAGTGTTTGAGGTAAGTCTGGTACAGTAGATGACAGTGTTGAATTAGGACTATTTATTCCTGGTCTGCCTGATCTCCGGGTCAACAGCCCTACCTACTGTACATCACATGCAAACTTTACCAATCCCTGGGAGAGGAATAATGTCGTCAACATCATCAGAATGTAATTTCAAATCTTTCACAATCTACCAGGTACATATTTTATTGTACTGCAGGGACTTGTAATGCCTTATCCTTTACTACACTAAGCAATAATGATGATAATATTTATTTGGCCAAAAGTATACAGAATTAAAATAACATGTATTGCCTGGATAGGGAATGGGCAAAAGCCTGAACAAGATATGCTCACTATCCTTCATATTATGAAATACACTAGTACAAAAAACAATTAAAATTAATCAGAAATATAAAAAGATATAAAATGCTTAACTAAATTATTCTTAATAGGGCCTAACAAAAAAAAATTTGCCCCTTCTCTGCTGTCCCAAAATCTTGAAAGTTGGGATACAGTTTAAAAAGTATATAATCTTTAAAAAATTAAAAAAAAAAAACAAAAAAAAAAAAAAACAATATGGAGATGAGCATTTAAATGTTTTCAAGATTTCTTTTGTTCATCATATGTTCACAAGCTCATTTTCCAAAGCCAGGTGATAGAAAAACGATATAACAAACAATAACGATATAATTTTTTTTTTCCTAGAATTTTCTACAGACTTCCAAAATTATTTATTCAATTCAATTTATTCAAGAAAACCCACACTAAGAAGGGGGAAGAGATGCAGAATTAATTAAGCTAGTCTACTGTACTAATACTATAGGCCTACATTTTGAGTCTTTTTTCAATACAAAGAAAAAGTTAATTCCTTTCAATTCCTAGAAAAAAAAAAACACAATACACATAGTAGAATATGTACCAGTACGTAATGGAGGCAAAGAGAAGCATTGAGTAGGATCATTGTAAAAGAGTCAACCAAGCAGCTAATTTTAATGTTTTCCATGTTATTCAAATATAGCCACAGGCAAACACTGCTTCCTAATAATATTCATATTTCGAATTCCGTTTTTGACTTCTTCTTTAATCAGTTAGTTACTCATTAATTCTTTTGAGCTAATTTATTTCAAGTTTGAATCGTGTGTTTCTAAATGTCATGTTCATGAAAATGTTCACAATTTATACTTTGAGTAAATTTTATACATGCTCCTCTTCATGAATAATTATGCCCAGTGGTACTTTTGAAAGAGTAATTGAATTTGATAGGCATAACATTTGATTTACACTAGAGTAACATTTTATAGTATATATTTAAGCGAGAGATTAACATTGAATTAATTCAAACAAATTAAAACATAAACATATCGGTATGGAGAACAAACATTGCAAGGAATGTTAAGATAAGGCCCAATAAAAAAAAAATATTAGTTTATCACCCTCACGTGCATGTGTTCTATAGTACTGAAAATTTTTTTTTTTTTCATTTTTTAAAAATTAGTAGATATTGTTTGTATTATCTCAATCATGTTTTACTTTGAATATCAATGAACCAGCAAACAACCCAAGGGTGATATTTGGCTTTAGCAAAAAAAAAAAGCTTCCCTCCCTCATCACTTTTCCAGCCCAGCTAAGGTGATAGCCTAATAATAGTATTAAACGAATCCAACTACAAAAACAATATTTTGTGAATTACCTGAGAACACATGACAGATACAAACACACTAAAATAATATTAGTTCAGTTATTTGGTTTATTTGTGAAAAATGCAAAAACATTTGTTATGTAATTATTACATTCTGAATTTGTATGACAATTTTATTCCTGATTCTGATCATACATATTATTATACCCTTGGGAAGTAACCGTCAGACAGGGTTGATGAGAATATTATAATTTTGTACGAAAACACAGTTAGATATCAATGCTTAATCATTACGTGTTCTGAATGTGAACATAGGAATGTTGAACATATCATTGTAGAACAGTTTCATCTAACCAAACACAGTTTGATGTAAACTTACTGCAAGCTTTCGTTGATGCTATGTTATATGATGGTTCATCGCTGTTGAACATATCATTAATTATAAATCCATATTTTATCCATTCACTAATATTGAGATTCTTACAAGAATCTGGTACAATGTATACTTTAAAAAAAAAGAAAATGTAAATATCAAAAAAATGTAATAGCAACTTTTATTAGAGCTATTCAATTATACTGTAGCTGAAGAATTTATTAATCTACCTCCACTTGTGAAGTTTAAATAAATAGAAAAACATGAAATTTATGAATTATTTAATATTTAATTTTGATTGTTGTTCATAACTCCATGTCCCAGAATTCTAATAGTCAAGTGCTAAAATGCAGCAAGACGATCTTACTTATGGAAGGGATTATCATTTATTTAACTTCAAATGCTGTGAAACAATTACGATATCGTTAACAGAAATCGTTGCGTTTGTGAGTGCTCAGACATGCTTCTCACTTGGCCATGCCAGGCATTTAGAAGTGATCTTGTCCCTCAGGAACATAAACTGTACATTTGCTAATGTACGGTAATTCTTGCCGTAAATTCCTTAGCATTATGGGTAATGTTTGCGCCCCACTTCTTCACATCATTACCATCGTCATTACATCAAAGCCGTAGGATAATGAATATTGACTGAGTTTTGAATTTCATTTTTAATCAAAATCTAATACTTATGGTTTTTTTTGTTTTTTTTATGAATGTTTTATTTTACAACATATATGGTACAATATCTAGCTAAATTTATATGCTGTTCTTTGGTTTTTATTATAGCACACAATATATTTTTCTAAAATTAGACAATACAACGCACTATGCAAATAAAAATCTACTAAGACAAAAAGTGACATACAAGTTCTATGAAAATTAATTTTGGGCCATCCGTAACCCATTCATCCATTATACTGTAGGACTATGAAAAAATGCAAGTATTTATGCTTCCGTTTTTCTAGTTAGGACCTACACATAATTTGAATTATTACACTCCATGTGTTGGTTTATATATTTCCTTTGCTATTTTACCTACCAACAGTGCATAATGTATACATAATTTCTACTATAAAACCTGTCATAATTATATTCAATTTGAATAAATATGAAAATTATAATAAAATTAATAGAAATAAAACTTGCTTTTTATAACTCTATAAAGTAGCATTTGCCCATTTTAAAAATAACATAATAAAAATTGTAAATTAATTTCACCTATTTAAAGATTTTTTACTAAAAAAATCCTAAAATTGATTACAAACAAATGCAAGTTAATTAAAAAAATTGTTATTTTAATCTCAGTTGCTTAATCTGGTGGTAATGTAGCCACTGTGTGTTTGCACTGAACAGTGGAGATCTCTAGGTCCCCAGTTGAATTCCCATCGCTGTTCGTGTGTTTCAGATCAAGGGCTGAAATACAAGTTACGATAGCGCACCGTCTTTTAGATGAGATGTTTAAACCGTTGGTCCTGTGTGTAATATGGCCCATGTGCATGTTAAAGAATGCAGTACACTCTTCGGAAACAAGTAGGGGATTGTCTCCCAGTGTACTGCTCAATTCACCACCAGAAGGAGCCCGGAATATCCTTGGTGTGATTTACACCGAAATACTTATCTTATCTGAAAACAATAACTAAAGTAAACAATTAAAATATAGAATTATATTTCCAGGTTTTATTTGCTTAGTGCAGATAAAAACTATTAAATGCTTGGAAACAAACCTGTAGGGTTACTCAAGGTAGTGAAAGATAATTGAATGATAATGCCTTCTCAACAAAATGGTCACTGTATTTTAATGTACAGAGGGAAATGTAATATGACCCTTATCCTGCAATCAAGCATGCACTATACTATACACAAGATACTAAGTTCATCGCTCTTCCATTATTTGCGTGGAGACAAGATGACGTCAACAAAGTCCTTTGATAGGCTACAATGGCTCATGTCATTAACATAGTTATCAACAAATCAGTACTTCTTCCTGTTGTGAATATACCATACCAGGATGTTAACAATACAGTTTACTTGAATAACATACCAACATTATTTAAATACCAGAATTTATTGTAGCTATTTGGTTTTAACATTCTGCATTGTCTTTTATAAAATGTGATAATTTACTGTATGTTTATCTGCTTCCAACAATACAACCTGCTATAAGATGGATGGACTATGGTCTCTTATTCAGGAACTCTTATTCAGGAACTCTTATTCAGGAACTCTTATTCAGGAACTCTTATTCAGGAACTCTTATTCAGGAAATTAAACATAATACATTACTATTGACATGAGATATAGTAACATGGATTTACTTTTCATACATAATGTTAAGAGGCTTACAGTTTTTGAGAAAAAGAATTCCAGTGTGCTTTAGAAATAATACAAACAAAAGCCCTCCACTTTACAATCTTGAATCATTTTGTT